CTTTAGGACATGGCAGGATTTTATATTGGCTGAGTTTCTGAATATGCCTTCTGTGAGGGGCCCTTTTTGATTAATAAAGGAAAGCATAGCCTGTAGGAAGAAAAGAAAAGTATATGGCATCTCATATCCACAAACGCAGAGCATAAGCTTGCCTCCGTTTTGAAAGAGGAGGGGAATGTAATGGTACACTGTTTTAGAGCGGGAAGGACCAAAGTCAATTTAGAATGTTTTTTGTTTTTTTTTTCAGTGTCTCTCTATATACTTTCTACCGAAATATCCATTTTACAGTCATACACTGAAACATTTTAAACACTTCTTTTAATCAGATTTTCCTTTCCATTGAGTTTCCACTCTTAAATCAAACTTCTCTGCTTCAAGGCCTTTGCGGAATCACCGTCTGTTTCCTACTTTACCATTCTTTTCTCATTATTCCCCTACGTAGATGCTCTTCCCCAAGTATGGAAGTCTATTTAGGGAATACTCATTTCCCATTTGTTTATTTCTCTTTAAGTGACTGTATACTCCTTTCCTACTTGTTCTATTTCCTTCCCTCTTTTAAAGTCAGGCTCAGAAACTCTCTTCTCCTTCTCTGATTACCCTCCCTTCTCATGAGTCTTAAATTGTCTTTTGCTCTATCTTCATGTCCTCTCTCTGCTGTGTAGAATCTTTATAAGGGCTGGACTCAGGGAATCCAACGGATCTGAAGTCTATTATGCTACTTATCTATTGTGTGAGCTGGGTCACTTACATCCTGTACTGAGGCTTCTCTGATTCGGTTAGGAAGTGTGGAGGATGATAATCCTAGCTAGCCCCTAAATTTGCTGCGATGCAAGGACCTGGGGTAGTAGCTAGCAGGTAACAAAGTAGCTAATATGATACATTTCTTCATAGCTAGGAGAACGTTCCCTACATCCCGTACAGTGCTTGCAGAGACACCGAATACTCAGTGAAGGTCCACGCTGACAATTCACTAGAGCAGTTTGAGATAACACAGGCCAAACTCTGTGGCTTTCATTTGACATATTCTGTTAGGATTAACAGATTCCTATTTGCCAGAGGATGAGTCTATGCTCGTGTCAGATGTTTGCAGTTGTTAGACTGAGTAGACTCCGTTGAAGGAGACTTGAGACTCATGTGAGTGCAGGAAGGCAATGAAGGGAGAGTGTGAAGATGAGGTGGACTCTCAGAGACTCACATACACAGAGTCATTTTGACTGATCTGAACAGGCCTCGGTGGGTCTTTGCGGAAACAAAACCCAAGTGGAATGGACAAGAATGTCTTTTCCTGTTGTATTTGCCTCATGACTCTGCTGGACCTAAGTCAGATTCTGTTCCTTGAAATAACAGTAACAGAGCTTCTCAGCCAAAGCCAGGGGCCGTCTAATGACTTCTCCATTTGGGGATACATTTGGATGAGGACACGTGGCCTCTCAGAGTTTCCCCTCCTCAGGAGGGCTGTAGAAGACCAAAAGGAGATGACCTACCAGAATTGGGAAGGGCAAGTTGTCTTTATCACACACATCCATGAGGGGAACTCCAAAGAGCTGTCCTGGCTCTGCGGAAGGTGGGGCTGTGCACTGGTTGTGCTGACAAGTGCTGGAACCCTGACAAAAGGCCCTGTCACTGAGAGAACGGCTTGTCACAGTCTTACGGCCGGAGTCTAAGGAAGAAGAGAGCGTACTAGTAGTAGTAGTTGTTGTTTAATACGCGGAACCTTCATTTTCCTTTTTTTTTTTTTTTTTTTTTTTACAGATTTTATTTATATTTTGAAAGAGGGAGAGAGACAGCGAGAGAGGGAACACAAGCAGGGGGAGGGGGAGAGGGAGAAGCAGGCTTCCCTCGGAGCAGGGAGCCCGATGCGGGGCTCGATCCCAGGACCCCGGCATCATGACCTGAGCTGAAGGCAGACGCTTAATGACTGAGCCACCCAGGCGTCCCAGACACATCTTAATTCCTGATGACTTGTATTTTCCTAAAGATTTCCTCAAAGCAATGTGGTAAGCATCATAAAACCAAGAAATGTCAGAAATATGGAGGGATTGATGATACGTGTCTCCAGGTTCTGAATCAAAAGTCTACCTTCTAAGGTGGACTGCTGCCAGGTAGCTGTGATTAGCTAGGCTCAAATCGTACTAGCTCTAGTCTCAGGGGCACTTCTCCTAGTCCTATTAATGGCTTTTTTTGGATTCCATCCATCATCTTATTTAGTGTTTACCACAATTCTAAGATTTAGACATTATTTTTATCCACATTTATAGATGAATAAACTGATGCTGAGCTAGAAAAACTGATCAAAGGTAATATAGCTGGTAAATGGGGGCACAGGACTTTACACTCTGGAGAGGTTTTTTGACATCAAGTCAAGTCCTTTTTTCTCAATGATGCCAGTTCTTTTCAACCTGTTTCAAAGGGCACTGGAATCCTGTGGTGCCTCAAGAGCCCCTGAGCCAAAAGAGGAGGGAGGGGAAGAAAGGCCCCTTGCTCTGGCTTCAACCAGAGCACATCTAATATACATAAATATATATACTATGGTTATATTTATATAGTATAAGTATCTAATTATATATTATATATCTATATAACTACATATATATGTATGATGTTGTATATATATATAGATATATAGCACCCACTTAGAATTTTGTTAGAAAAAATTCCCAAACACTGTAGCATACCATGATGAGTCCTAATGCCCTTATGATCTACACTAGAAACTTCTTGAAGTCAGACACCTCATCTTATCCTTTCTTTGGTCTCACAACAGTGTGGAACCTCCCTTGACCTGTGAGCCAGCCTTCGGAAGAAGGAGCCCATGGAAATCCTTGCCCTGGCGATGCTCTGGGCTCCAGAACAGCTCTGTCTAAGCATCTCCCATGACCCCTGGCAACCTTGCTGTCTGCTTCTCACTAAAGCCAATTAAATTACTCCCGGTACCTGCAGCCTTCTCGCTGTTACCACGACTCATTGAGTTCTCGCCCAAGAGGGAAGTGATGTCTTCTCCAAATATCCTGAGGCAATTTTCAATGAGAAATTGTACAAGACAAATCTGTAACACAAAAAGACGAGAATGGGGTGCTCTTTTCCATAGGGCATAGTTATAAATCACATTTTGTATACAGACCTTGGATCTAAGAAAAAATGGGAAGGACTTCCCAGTAAAATTCAGACTTGATAAAAATACGTAGAAACCAGGGGCGCCTGGGTGGCTCAGTCGGTTAAGCGTCTGCGTTCGGCTCAGGTCATAATCCCAGGGTGCTGGGATCAGCCCTACATCGGGCTCCCTGCTCAGCGGGAAGCCTGCTTCTCCCTCTCCCACTCCCCCTGCTTGTGTTCCCTCTCTCGCTGTGACTCTCTCAGTCAAGTAAATAAATAAAAGTTTTAAAAAAAAACACAAAAAAACAGAAACACATAGAAACCAGAGTTCTCTCAGTAATAACTTAGAAAGAGTGATACTTTCCCGTGTACTTTGGGTACACATTTTAAAATACTGCCCATCCGTGGGCTAAAGTTATAATGCGTGGCCTACTTTAAGAGCTAACATTTTGGGATCAGTGGTTACGTCTTTAAGACTAGGATAAATTTCGGGGCCCCTCTGTTGGGCGTCTGACTCTTGATTTCGGCGCAGATCACGATCTCATGGTGGTGAGATCCAGCCCCACATGGAGCCAACTTTGGGCTCCGTGCTCAGCGGGGAATGGGCTTGGGCTTCTCCCTCTCCCTCTCCCTCTTCTTCTGCCCCTGCCCCGCTCACGCTCTCTCTTTCCCTCTCTCAAATAAATACATATCAAAATATAAATAAAACAAGGATAATTTTCAAAGTAGCCTACCTTATTAAAGTTTACTTATTTTTTGCTTTTAAATTTTGTTTCCAGTTTTACTGAGCTGTAACTGATGTATACCATCTTATGAAACTTTATAAAGTATGAACGACAACTTAAGAAAACCATTTCTTAAATGAAGAAGTATCATAAAGTTGGGAAGCAGGGATTTTGGTGGGGTTGTGAGGGAAAACCCACACAGCTGGAGAGAAAACGTATCTGTCTGTCTAACTTCAGTCCCTTCTCACGCATTGCTTTGCCTCATGCTGGCTCTCTCTGGGTGAGCTTGGGGAAGACCTGTCATCTTATTAGGATATTCTGGAATCTCTTGCTAGTTTCCATATGATGTAGCAGAGGTGAAATAGTAGCCGAGTACTTTTCTAGATGAGCCACAATTGGCAGAGGAAGGCCAATGTGTTTGGAGGCATGGGGGCTCATATTGCCCAAGCCACCCAGGATGTGCCAGTGATGACCGGAGGAGCTGGCTGTTGTCGCCATTGTGTAGTGAGGAAACCATGGCTTTGCCCAAGGTTACGAGTCCCTCAGGGATTAGGCTGAGAGTTGAACCTTGACTGGTGAAGCTCCAAAACCCAGGTTCTTTCCTATCGTATCACACGACTCTTCTCTCTCTCGTTTAGTCAGTCTAGTGTTTAGTCTCCTGGAGGGGGAAGAAGTGACTCGACTGCTCCGAGTTTCCCGTTTAACGACAGCCCTTCCCAGACCCCGCCAGAGTAGCATAAAGAACTCTGCCACTCCACAGGGGCCTAATGAAAATGTGCACTTCACAAAGTTCCTTCTGTCAGAGTTACTACTGCACATGTCCGGTTCAAAGTAGGGATTCTACCCCCTGGGGGACAAAAATGAGAGCTCTCATTACCTTTCTTATCAAGTTGTCTTCCAATTCCAAGCTGCCGGAATCAGGTGGGTAAAGAACGCTTGGGGCTATACAAACGGATAAATTATAAGGTTTCATCTGATTGGATGAGGAATGTTGCTCAATGTTGTATAGCACTCCAAAAAGGTATCGCAAGAGAACAACATTTGCTCTTGGCAGCTGGGCTAAAAGCCTAAAGTCAAAAAAACACACTTTTAAATTAGGCAAGTGATTCCACTTAGGAGGTTGGAAAAACAGAGACAGGGAACAGGATACATCCTTGTATATCTAGCACACCACCCGCTGTAGCAGAGTTTCATGCATGAATGTAGACAAAATTGTTGCACTGAATTCAGTTCCTGAGCCAGATAAACACTTCTCTGGTTAGTTAAATGTCTGACAGACTTTTAAGGTCATAGCCCTGGCAGTTGTTGCTCTTGATCTGTCTCGGACCAGGGAATTTTGTCTACCAGTTTCAAGGATCCAGAAGGTGTAAAACGGCCAAGGAGTCCACATTAATAAGATCAGGAGAAGAACAATAATAGCCCTAAAGTGTGCCTCTATTCTGAAGCTGGGCCCCATGGGTGTGAAGACTCGAAATTCTTTGGTGTTGGTCATGATTATAGTGGGCAAAGCTGGAAAACGTAAGCCAATGTTTTCCTGATAGTATGTTGGGTGTATTTTGGAGATGTGACCAGAGTAGAGTAATTATTGCATCGTTACCTCCGAGCTGCAGTTATCATCTCCTCTTTGTTGCCTTGATCAATAACACCGAGCCATTTGTCATAGAGATCAGATAAAAATACACTTCCTGGGATGTTTCTTAGAAAGTCCTTAGGGAGATAAAAAAATATGTGTATATATTATAGAAAATATGTAGTGGAAATATTCCAGAGAAAATATATAGTTAAAAAATTCAGTTCAGCCCCCACTTCCTTCACAGATACCCAAACTGGGACCCACACGGAGCTCAGCTCTGACTCTCCATTGACTTGCACACGCAGGAGCAGGTGCTTGGATTTTCTCCCGCTAAAACTTAGAGGCAAAAAGCAGAGCTTAGCCTGTGGTGGAAATGAAGATAAAGCTCCTTTCTATCATCTGGAACTTATTTTGTGTGTGTGCTTTTTTTTTGCAAAGTACCATAAACTGACAGGGTCTGGCTATAGACCATCCTAAATCCTATTAGCTTCCTGGACAGAAATACACATACCCATGTTGCTTGTTTTAGACAAGGTGCTAGCTCTTAACTCTAGCAAGAAAAGGCCTGAAACAATCAAAACACAAACAGGTGGGCTCTTGCACACATATTAGGAAAGAACTAGGTCTTCTCACTCGGGGTATGCGTGCTCCCTGGAAGAAAGCTACTCTCACAATTGCTTCATTCTTCCTTTTCTTAACTGTCTAAAAGTCGAGAGTCTAATGGCAGACTCACTGTGGTCCTGAGGATAGATTCATTTCTAGTTTAGGACAATTGTCCAGTTAGTTTGCCATGATATTATCAAGGCCAAGGTTGCAGAGTCTGATTCTCCACCAAGATCCGTCAACTTCAGGAAGAGAAAACTTTAGAAATGTCTAAGCACTCTCCCCACAAGTGCTCACCCTCTTCCTAGTCGGTGCTTATAACACGGAATCAGGAAAGAACCTCCTAACTCTTGCTAGAAAATCGATTCCATGTGTGCACCTTACAGAGGGCAACACTCATCTCGCTACCTAGTGTATCATCATTCTTCTCCTGTCTCCTGATGCCTGTATGTATATTACTACTGGATATCACTATGGCCCCAGTGTAGGAGTGGTTACCTAAGTCATTTCTGGACCTTGCTATTGATCACATCTTCAAACATTAACGGGGGACAAGGGAAGAGCAAATGAGACTGAGATTCTACGACCGTAGTCATTACTACGTTAACATAGGGTTGTTCAGACCTGTTCATAAGTGCCAAGGTGGATGGATTAAATTCTTTCCCTGTTCTATTTCTTTTGGAAAGTTTGCCTTCATTAGGAGGGTGGTGAGGATGTTTTCATGGGTAAACTGTGTGTATGTATCGGTGCGTATTTTGAAATTTATTATCATGACTAGTAGTCATTTCAGTATTAGTATTTTGCATGGAGTCTTCAGGAGTGAAGGTGGGGAGGGCGGTGTGTAGTCAAAACAGAAAGTATTTCTAACACATGGGGCTTTTAACTCCAAAAGTAGCTTCCTTAAATTTTGATTTTGTCAAGCGTTTTTCAGCTTGTCAGGTTCTTAATCTATTATGCCCGTTATGGTTCTTGAGCAGTCATGATGAAGGACACCAATCATAGCTTCAGTTACTCGTGTGTGGATAATGCTAGGACCTTCCCTACCTTTAAGACGGATGCGACCACATGAACAGATTCGCTGTACGGGTTCACTTTGACCCCAGAATTTAGTTTCTCCTTTAGGACATGGCAGGATTTTATATTGGCTGAGTTTCTGAATATGCCTTCTGTGAGGGGCCCTTTTTGATTAATAAAGGAAAGCATAGCCTGTAGGAAGAAAAGAAAAGTATATGGCATCTCATATCCACACACGCAGAGCACAAGCTTGCCTCCGTTTTGAAAGAGGAGGGGAATGTAATGGTACACTGTTTTAGAGCGGGAAGGACCAAAGTCAATTTAGATTTTTTTTTTTTCAGTGTCTCTCTATATACTTTCTACCCAAATATCCATTTTACAGTCATACACTGAAACATTTTAAACACTTCTTTTAATCAGATTTTCCTTTCCATTGAGTTTCCACTCTTAAATCAAACTTCTCTGCTTCAAGGCCTTTGTGCAATCACCATGTGTTTCCTACTTTACCATTCTTTTCTCATTATTCCCTTACGTAGATGCTCTTCCCGAAGTATGGAAGTCTATTTAGGAAATACTCATTTCCCATTTGTTTATTTCTCTTTAAGTGACTGTATACTCCATTCCTACTTGTTCTATTTCCTTCCCTTCATTTAAAGTCAGGCTCAGAAACTCTCTTCCCCTTCTCTGATTACCCTCCCTTCTCATGAGTCTTTCATTGTCTTTTGCTCTATCTTCATGTCCTCTCTCTGCTGTGTAGAATCTTAATAAGGGCTGGACTCAGGGAATCCAACGGATCTGAAGTCTATTATGCTACTTATCTATTGTGTGAGCTGGGGCACATACATCCTGTACTGAGGCTTTTCTGATTCGTTTAGGCAGTGCGGAGGATGATAATCCTAGCTAGCCCCTAAATTTGCTGTGATGCAAGGACCTGGGGTAGTAGGTAGCAGGTAACATGCTAGCTAATACGTTACATTTCTTCATCGCTAGCACAACGTTCCCTACATCCCATACAGTGCTTGCAGAGACACCAAATACTCAGTGAAGGTCCACACTGACAATTCACTAGAGCAGTTTGAGATAACACAGGCCAAACTCTGTGGCTTTCATTTGACATATTCTGTTAGGATTAACAGATTCCTATTTGCCAGAGGATGAGTCTATGCTCGTGTCAGATGTTTGCAGTTGTTAGACTGAGTAGACTCCGTTGAAGGAGACTTGAGACTCATGTGAGTGCAGGAAGGCAGTGAAGGGAGAGTGTGAAGATGAGGTGGACTCTCAGAGACTCACATACACAGAGTCATTTTGACTCATCTGAACAGGCCTCGGTGGGTTTTTGCGGAAAGAAGACCCAAGTAGAATGGACAAGAATGTCTTTTCCTGTTGTATTTGCCTCATGACTCTGCTGGACCTAAGTCAGATTCTGTTCCTTGAAATAACAGTAACAGAGCTTCTGAGCCAAAACCAGGGCTGTCTAAGGACTTCTCTATTTCGGGATAGATTTGGATGAGGACACATGGCCTCTCAGTGTTTCCCCACCTCAGAAGAGCTATAGAAGACCAAAATGAGATGACCTACCAGAATTGGGAAGGCCAGGTTGTCTTTATAACACACAACCATGAGGCAAACTCCAAAGAGCTCTCCTGGCTTTGCAGAATGTGGGGCTGTGCACTGGTTTTGCTGGCAAGTGCTGGAGCCCCACCAAAAGGCCCTGTCTCTGAAGGAACAGCTTTTCACAGTTTTCTGGCCGGAGTCTAAGGAAGAAGAGAGAGTACTAGTGGTAGTAGTTGTTCTTTAATCCGCTGAAACTTCTTCTTCCTTTTTTTTTTTTTTTTTTTTTACAGATTTTATTTATATTTTGATAGAGGGAGAGAGACAGCGAGAGAGGGAACACAAGCAGGGGGACGGGGAGAGGGAGAAGCAGGCTTCCCTCGGAGCAGGGAGCCCGATGCGGGGCTCGATCCCAGGACCCCGAGATCATGACCTGAGCTGAAGGCAGTTACTTAACGACTGAGCCACCCAAGTGCCCCAGACTCATCTTAATTCCTGATGACTTGTATTTTCCTAAAGATTTCCTCAAATCAATGTCGTAAGCATCATAAAACCAAGAAATGTCAGAAATATGGAGGGATTGATGATACGTGTCTACAGGTTCTGAATCGAAAGTCTACCTTCCAAGGTGGCCTGCTGACAGCTGTTATTAGCTAGGCTCAAAACATACTAGCTTTAGTCTCAGGGGCACTTCTCCTAGTCATATTAATGGCTTTTTTTGGATTACATCCATCATCTTATTTATTCTACACAACAATTCTAAGATTTAGACATTATTTTTATCCATATTTAGAGATGAATTAACTGATGCTGAGGTGGTATAACTGGGCAAAGATAATATAGCTGGTAAATGCGGGCACAGGAATTTACACTCTGGAGAGGTAGTTTGACATCAAGTCAAGTCCTTTTTTCTCAATGATGCCAGTTCTTTTCAACCCATTTTAAAGCCACTGGAATCCTGTGGTGCCTCAAGAGCCCCTGAGCCAAAAGGGGACGGAGGGGAAGAAAGGCCCCTTCTCTGGCTTCAACCAGAGCACTTCTAATATACATAAATATATATATTATGATAATATATTTATATAGTATAAGTATCTAATTATATATTATATATAACTACATACATATGTTTGATGTGTTTTACATATATATATGCATATACAAATATATACATACATATACATACATCCTGTACTGAGGCTTTTCTGATTCGTTATTACATATATACATATATATACAAATATATATGTATATATATGTATAGCACCCTATTAGAATTTTGTTAGAAAAAATTCCCAAACACTATGGCATACCATGATGAGTCCTAATGCCTTTATGATCTACCCTAGGAACTTCTTGAAGTCAGAGACTTCATCTTATCCTTTCTTTGGTCTCACAACAGTGTGGAACCTCCCTTGACCTGTGAGCCAGCCTTTGGAAGAAGGAGCACATGGAAATCATTGCCCTGGCGATGCTCTGGGCTCCAGAACAGCACTGTCTATGCATCTCCCATGACCCTTGGCAGCCTTGCTGTCTGCTTCTCACTAAAGCCAATTAAATTATTCCCGGTAGCTGCAGTCTTCTCGCTCTTACCACGACTCATTGACTTCTCTCCCAAGAAGGAAGTGATGTCTTCGCCAAATATCCTGAGGCAATTTTCAAGGAGAAATTATACAAGAGAAATCTGTAACACAAAAAGACAAAAATGGGGTGTTCTTTTCCATAGGCCATAGTTAGAAAACACATTTTGTATATAGACCTTGGATCTAAGAAAAAACGTGAAGGACTTATCAGAAAAATTCAGAGTTGATAAAAATACGTAGAAACCAGGGGCACCTGGGTAGCTCAGTCAGTTACGCGTCTCCCTTCGGCTCAGCTTATGATCCCAGGGTGCTGGGATCAGCCCTATATCTGGCTCCCTGCTCAGCGGGAAGCCTGCTTCTTCCTCTCCCACTCTCCCTGCTTGAGTTCCCTCTCTGTCAAGTAAATAAATAAAATCTTAAAAAAAAAAACCAAAAAAAAAATAGAGACCAGAGTTCTCTAGGAAATAACTTAGAATGACTGATGCTTTCCCGTGTACTTTGGGTACACATTTTGAAATACTGCTCATCAGTGGGCTAAAGTTTTAATGTGTGGCCTAGTTTCATAGCTAACATTTTGGGATCAGTGGTTACATCTTTAAGCCTAGGATAAATTTCGGGGCCCCTCAGTTGAGCGTCTGACTCTTGGTTTCGGCTCAGATCACAATCTCATAGTGGTGAGATCCAGCCCCACATGGAGCCAACTTTCAGCTCTGGGCTCAGCAGGGAATTGGCTTGGTCTTCTCCCTCTCCCTCTTCTACTGCCCCTGCCCCGCTCACGCTCTCTTTCCCTCTCTCAAAAAAATAAATATCAAAAAATAAATAAAACTAGGATAATTTTCAAAGTAGCCTACCTTATTAAAGTTTACCTGTTTTTTGTTTTTAAATTTTGTTCCCAGTTTTATTGAGCTGTAACTGATGTATAACATCTTATGAAACTTTATAAAGTATGAACGAAAACTTAAACCATTTCTTTTTTTTTTTTTTTTTTTTTTTTTTATTCATGAGAGACAGAGCGAGAGAGAAAGGCAGAGGGAGAAGCAGGCTCCCAAGGAGCAGGGAGCCCGATGCGGGACTCGATCCCAGGACCCTGAGATCATGACCTGAGCCGAAGGCAGACCCTTAACCATCTGAGCCACCCAGGCGCCCAAGAAACCATTTCTTAAATGAAGAAGAATCTTAAAGTTGAGAAGCAGAGATTTTGGTGGGGTTGTGAGGGAAAACCCACACAGCTGGAGAGAAAATGTATCTGTCTGTCTAAATTCAGTACCTTCTCACGCATTGGTTTGCCTCATGCTGGCTCTCTCTGTGTGAGCTTGGGGAAGACCTGTCATCTTGTTAGGATGGTCTGGAATCTTTTGCTAGTTTCCATAAGATGTAGCAGGGGTGAAATAGTAGTTGAGTACTTTTCTAGATGAGCCACAATTGGCAGAGGAAGGCCAATGTGGTTGGACCCATGGGGGCTCATATTGCCCAAGCCACCCAGGATGTGCCAGTGATGACCGGAGGAGCTGGCTGTTGTCGCCATTGTGTAGTGAGGAAACCATGGCTTTGCCCAAGGTTACGAGTCCCTCAGGGATTAGGCTGAGAGTTGAACCTTGACTGGTGAAGCTCCAAAGCCCAGGTTCTTTCCTATCGTATCACATGACTCTTCTCTCTCTCGTTTAGTCAGTCTAGTGTTTAGTCTCCTGGAGGGGGAAGAAGTGACTCGACTGCTCCGAGTTTCCCGTTTAACGACAGCCCTTCCCAGACCCCGCCAGAGTAGCATAAAGAACTCTGCCACTCCACAGGGGCCTAATGAAAATGTGCACTTCACAAAGTTCCATCCGTCAGAGTTACTACTGCACATATCCGGTTCAAAGTAGGGATTCTACCCCATGGGGGCAAAAATGAGAGCTCTCATTACCTTTTTTATCAAGTTGTCTTCCAATTCCAAGCTGCCGGAATCAGGTGGGTAAAGAACGCTTGGGGCTATACAAACGGATAAATTATAAGCTGTCATCTGATTGGATGAGGAATGTTGCTCAATGTTGTATAGCACTCCAAAAAGGTATCGCAAGAGAACAACATTTCCTCTTGGCAGCTGGGGTAAAAGCCTAAGGTCAGAAAAATACACATTTAAATTAGGCAAGTGATTCCACTTAGGAGGTTGAAAAAAAAGACAGGGAACAGGATACATCCTTGTATATCTAGCACACAACCCGCTGTAGCAGAGTTCCAGGCATGAATGTATACAAAATTGTTGCCCTGACTTCAGTTCCTGCGCCAGATAAAATCTTCTCTGGTTAGTTAAATGTTTGACAGACCTTTAAGGTCATAGCCCTGGCAATTGATGTTCTTGCATCTGTCTTGGACCAGGGGATTTCCCCTAACAGTTTCATGTATCCAAAAGATGTAAAACGGCCAAGGATTCCACATTAATAAGATCAGGAGAAGAACGATAATGGCCCTAAAGTGTGTCTCCATTATGAACCTGGCCCCCATGGGTGTGAAGAATTGAAACTCTTTGGCATTGGTCATGATTATAGTGAGCAAAGCTGCAAAACGTAAGCCAATGTTTTCCTAATAGTATGTTGGCTGTATTTTGGAGATGTGACCAGAGTAATTATTGCACCATTACCTCTGGGCTGCAGTTATCTTCTCCTCTTCGTTGCCTTGATCAATAACACCGAGCCATTTGTCATAGAGATCAGATAAAAATATACTTCCGTGTATATTTCTAAGAAAATCCTTAGGGAGATAAAAAAAAAAAACTATGTATATATGTTATAGAAAATATGTAATGGAAATATTCCAGAGAAAATATGTAGTTAAAAAATTCAGTTCAGCCCCCACTTCCTTCACAGATACTCAAACTGTGACCCACACGGTGCTCGGCTCTGACTCTCCATTGACTTGCACACGCAGCAGCAGATGCTTGGATTTTCTCCCACTAAAACTTAGAGGCATAAAGCAGAGCTTAGTCTGTGGTGGAAATGAAGATAAAGCTCCCTTCTATCATCTGGAACTTATTTTGTGTGTGTGCTTTTTTTGCAAAGTACCACAAACTGACAGGGTCTGGCTATAGACCATCCTAAATCCTATTAGCTTCCTGGACAGAAATACACATACTCATGTTGCTTGTTTTAGACACAGCGCCAGCTCTTAATTCTAGCAAGAAAAGGCCTGAAACAATCAAAACACAAACAGGTGGGCTCTTGCACACACATTAGGCAAGAAATAGGTCTTCTCATTCGGGGTATGTGTGCTCCCTGGAAGAAAGCTACTCTCACAATTGCTTCATTCTTCCTTTTCTTAACTGTCTAAAAGTCGAGAGTCTAATGGCAGACTCACTGTGGTCCTGAGGATAGATTCATTTCTAGTTTAGGACAATTGTCCAGTTAGTTTGCCATGATATTATCAAGGCCAAGGTTGCAGAGTCTGATTCTCCACCAAGATCCGTCAACTTCAGGAAGAGAAAACTTTAGAAATGTCTAAGCACTATACCCACAAGTGCTCATGCTCCTCCTAGTCAGTGCTTATAACACAGAATCAGAAAAGAACCTACCAACTCTTGCTAGAAAATCGATTCCATGTGTGCACCTTACAGAGGGCAACACTCATCTTGCTACCTAGTGTATCATCATTCTTCTCCTGTCTCCTGATGCCTATATGTATATTACTACTGGATATCACTATGGCCCCAGTGTAGGAGTGGTTACCTAAGTCATTTCTGGACTTTGCTATTGATCACATCTTCGAACATTAATGGGGGACAAGGGAAGACCAAATGTGACTGAGATTCTAAGACTGTAGTCAGTACTACATTAACATAGGGTTGTTCAGAGCTGTTCATATGTGCCAAGCTGCATGGATTAAATTCTTTCCCTGTTCTATTTCTTCTTTTTTTTTTTTTTTCTTATTCATTTGAGACACAGAGATAGAGAGGGAGAGAGCATGAGGAGGGAGAGAGGCAGAGGGACAGGGAGAAGCAGGCTCCCCGCTGAGCAGGAAGCCCGATGCGGGGCTCGATCCCAGGACACTGGGATCATGACCTGAGCCGAAGGCAGACGCTTAACCATCTGAGCCACCCAGGCGCCCCTCCCTGTTCTATTTCTTTTGGAAAGTTTGCCTTCATTAGGAGGGTGGTGAGGATGTCTGCTTCGGTAAACAGTGTGTTTGTGTCAGTGCGTATTTTGAAATTTAGTATCATGACTGTAGTCATTTCAGTATTAGTATTTTGCATGGAGTCTTCAGGAGTGAAGGTGCGGAGGGCCGTGTGTGGTGAAAACAGAAAGTATTTCTAACACATGGGGCTTTTAACTCCTAAAGTAGCTTCCTTAAATTTTGATTTTGTCAAGCGTTTTTTAGCTTGTCAGGTTCTTAATCTACTATGCCCGTTATGGTTCTTGAGCAGTCATGATGAAGGACACCCATCATCGCTTCAGTTACTCACATGTGGATAATGCTAGAACCTTCCCTACCTTTAAGACGGATGCGAACACATGAATAGATTCCCTGTACGGGTTCACTTTGATCCCAGAATTTAGTTTCTCCGTTAGGACTCTGCGGGATTTTATATTGGCTGAGTTTCTGAAGATGCCTTCTGCGAGTGGCCCTTTTTGATTAATAAAGGAAAGCATACCGTGTAGGAAGAAAAGAAAAGTATATGGCATCTCATATACCATGCCTGCCTCCGTTTTGAAAGAAAAGGGGAATGTAATGGTACAATGTTTTAGAGCGGGAAGGACTAAAGTCAATTTAGATTGCTGTTTTTTCAGTGTCTCTCTATATACTTTCTACCCATATATCCATTTTACAGTCATACACTGAAACATTTTCAACACTTCTTTTAATCAGATTTTCCACTAAGTTTACACTTTTAAATCAAACTTCTCTGTCTCAAGGCCTTTGCGGAATCACCGTCTGTTTCCTACTTTCCCATTCTTTTCACATTTTTCCCTTACATACATGCTTTTCCGCAAGTATGGAAGTCTATTTAGGAAATACTCATTTCCAATTTGTTTATTTCTCTTTAAGTGACTGTATACTCCATTCCTACTTGTTCTATTTCCTTCCCTCTTTTAAAGTCAGGCTCAGAAACTCTCTTCCCCTTCTCTGATTACCCTCCCTTCTCATGAGTCCTTCATTGTCTTTTGCTGTATCTTCCTGTCCTCTCCCTGCTGTGTAGAAATTTAATAAGGGCTGGACTCAGGGAATCCAACGGATCTGAAGTCTATTATGCTACTTATCTATTGTGTGAGCTGGGGCACACGCATCCTGTACTGAGGCTTTTCTGATTCGTTTAGGCAGTGCGGAGGATGATAATCCTAGCTAGCCCCTAAATTTGCTGTGATGCAAGGACATGGGGTAGTAGCTAGCAGGTAACATGCTAGCTAAGATGATACATTTCTTCATAGCTAGCGGAACGTTCCCTACATCCCGTACAGTACTTGCAGAGACACCAAATACTCAGTGAATGTCCACACTGACAATTCACTACAGCAGTTTGAGATAACACAGACCAAACTCTGTGGCTTTCATTTGACATATTCTGTTAGGATTAACAGATTCCTATTTGCCAGAGGATGAGTCTATGCTTGTGTCAGATGTTTACAGTTGTTAGACTGAGTAGACTCCGCTGAAGGAGACTTGAGACTCATGTGAGTTCAGGAAGGCAATGAAGGGAGAGTGTGAAGATGAGGTGGACTCTCAGAGACTCACATACACAGAGTCCATTTTGACTGATCTGAACAAGCCTCCGCATGTCTTTGTGGAAACAAGACCCAAGTGGAATGGAGAAGAATGACTTTTCCTTTTGTATTTGCCTCATGACTCTGCAGGACCGAAATCAGATTCTATTCTTTGAAATAACAGTAACAGAGCTTCTCAACCAAAGCCAGGGGCTGTCTAATGACATCTTCATTTGGGGATAGATTTGGATGAGGACGCTTGGCCTCTCAGAGTTTCCCCTTCTCAGGAGGGCTATTGAAGACCAAAATGAGATGACCTACCAGAATTGGGAAGGAGAAGTTGTCTTTATCACACACATCCATGAGGGGAACTCCAAAGAGCTGTCCTGGCTTTGCGGAAGGTGGGGCTGTGCACTGGTTGTGCTGGGAAGTGCTGGAACCCCGACAAAACGCCCTATCTCTGAAAGAACGGGTTTTCACAGTCTTCAGGCTGGAGTCTAAGGAAGAAGTGAGAGTACTCGTAGTAGTAGTTGTTGTTTAATATGTTGAACCTTCTTTTTCCTTTTTTTTTTTTTTTACAGATTTTATTTATTTTTTGACAGAGAGAGAGAGACAGCAAGAGAGGGAACACAAGTAGGGGGCGGGGGAGAGGGAGAAGCAGGCTTCCCTTGGAGCAGGGAGCCCGACTCGGGGCTCGGTACCAGGACCCCAGGATCATGACCTGAGCTGAAGGCAGATGTTTAACGACTGAGCCACCCAGGTGCCTCAGACTCATCTTAATTCCTGATGACTTGTATTTTCCTAAAACTTTCCTCAAAGTATGTGGTACGTGTCATGAAAACAAGAAATGTCAAAAATATGGAGGGATTGATGATACATGTCTCCAGGTTCTGAATCGAAAGTCTACCTTCTAAGGTGGACTGCTGCCAGTTAGGTCTGATTAGCTAGGCTCAAATCATACTACCTCTAGTGTCAGGGGCACTTCTCCTAGTGCTATTAATGGCTTTTTTTGGATTCCATCCATCATCTTATTTATTCTACACCACAATTCTAAGATTTAGACATTATTTTTATCCACATTTTAGAGATGAATAAACTGATGCTTAGCTGCTATAACGGGCCAAAGATAATATAGCTGGTAAATGGGGGTACAGGAATTTACACTCTGGAGAGGTTGTTTGACATCAAGTCAAGTTCTTTTTTCTCAAAGATGCCAATTCTTTTCAACCCATTTCAAAGGGCACTGGAATCCTGTGATGCCTCAAGAGCCCCTGAGCCAAAAGAGGAGGGAGGGGAAGAAAGGCCCCTTTCTCTGGCTTCAACCAGCGCACATGTAATATACATAAATATATACATTATGTTTATATATTTATATAGTATCAGTATATAATTATGTAATATATATAACTACATAGATATATATATAGCACCCATTTAAATTTTGTGAGAAAAAGTTCCCAAACACTGTGGCATACCATGATGAGTCCTAATTCTGTTATGATCTACACTAGAAACTTCTTGAAGTCAGAGACCTCATCTTATCCTTTCTTTGGTCTCACAACAGTGTGGAACCTCCCTTGACCTGTGAGCCAGCCTTCGGAAGAAGGAGCCCATGGAAATCCTTGCCCTGGCGATGCTCTGGGCTCCAGAACAGCTCTGTCTAAGCATCTCCCATGACCCCTGGCAGCCTTGCTGTCTGCTTCTCACTAAAGCCAATAAAATTATTCCCGGTACCTGCAGCCTGCTCGCTGTTACCACGACTCATTGAGTTCTCTCCCAAGAGGGAAGTGATGTCTTCTCCAAATATTTTAAGGCAATTTTCAATGAGAAATTGTACAAGAGAAATCTGTAACACAAAAAGACAAGAATGGGGTGCTCTTTTCCATAGGGCATAGTTATAAATCACATTATGTATATAGACCTTGGATCTAAGAAAGAATGTGAAAGATTTCC